GAGAAAACCACCATGTCTGTAAACCTAGGAGCTACAGATGAAAATGAAACAATCTAGAAGCATCAAAACCCACCTGAACATTGCTGTTTTTGCAGAAAGTACAGAGATTTTGGGTTTTCAATACATATATTAAAAAAGCAATAAGAAACTGACATAAAAATAGCTTTACCAGGGGAAAAATCCCAAAATAAAACAAACCAAGAGATTTTCTATTTAAATTATTTGCTTCTTGGTACTTCAGACATCCTGGGTCTGCTGCCCTCTTTGCTGTTTGATCCTAAAGTAGAGCTACAATTCTGTTTGTTTCCAAGTTGCCATGAAAATTAATGCAAAGACCAACTTAGAAATGCAACTCTCTGTTGATTCCAGCAGGAACACAAGACAAACTGTAGGTCCACATAAAGTAATTACCAAATATGGCCAAAACCCCCTAAACACCATCAAACGGGGCTAAATCTGTCTCTTCCCCACACAGAGTCCACTTCAAAGTACAGGAGATCCTGCACTTCTCTTAAGGGCAAACACCAATTGCTCAGTTATTTATCAGTGCTGGCCTAGCATGAACTTTAAAGGCAGCCAGGCTTAGTCACATGCTAAAGGAAGGGTGTCCAACAGCTAATTCTAATCCCAAAAAGTTTATCTGGAAGAGGCACCAGAGAGAAGATGATGAGTGTCTAAAATGCACCCAGCAGCCTTCCACATCTCGAGAGCTGTGGCATCATTCTTACAGTAACAGCTTCCTCGAGAAGAAGCAGCAATAACTGTTACCTAGCACCAACTTGCAGCTTCCTGAGGAAAACCTCTGGGCTCTGCTAAATGGCAACCAAGTTACAAGGACAGCGCCAGACTGAAGAACCACCCACCACTTCCACAGCTTGAGATGGCACACGGCAACCCCACCGGTTTAAAATAAATAAATGCAAAAACAAAACCAAAAAACTACAACAAAACAAAAAACCATGGACAGGGGCAGGGAGGAGGAAGCTTTCTTGTAAGTGTCAAAGTTTTGGTAAAAATTTCCTTCTGTAGTTACACCACGACTAACTTGTGCAGAGTGACAGCCAAATTCAACCTTGAGTACACAGGAGAAAGGTCAAAGCACTGTCAAAAGCAATGTGGCTCATAGTCTGAAGATTCTATTGATTATCCATAATTACTCACTGCTTCTAAAATTTGAACCCTTAAGATTCATTTCGCCAGTGACTCTAAAGCAGAGAGCGCAATCAGGCCAGAACAAACAACGAAGCTGAAGTTTGACATTTGATTCCAGTCTCAATGTCACTCTGCCTTTCACTTGACAAGGACACTGCACGCGTTAAAATCAGGAAGTGCCTGCTCAAGCGATCTTGTCCGTTTAAATGCAATGCATGTACACGGGGCTCAGGTTTTAAAGAAAAAGACAGAAAGTGAAAGGCACTGGGAGCTGTTTCTGTGAGTTTGGAGCCACCAGGCCTTAAAGGCACGCACAGGTGAGACGCCCAGACTGGGCCCGGGCACACACAACCCTCCGTGCCAAAGGCGGGCAGAGCTGCAACAAAGACCACGAGAGCTTCCTTGGGAAGCTAAAAAAGCGAACTCACAGTGACAATGACAGGCAGAACCGGCTCCTTTGTCTGCGACCGGGGCTCGAGCCGCTCGCCATGTGCAGCCCCGGGAAGGAGGGGGAGGCCGGAGCCGCCTCAGCCCCCGGCCCGGCCACTTACCCAGCACATCGGCGGAGCGGTGCCGCGCCACGAAACAGGCGTCATCCCCGTAGCACATGCCTTTCTTGAGGATGCCCTTGCGGAAATCTTTGCCGAAGCCGCAGCTGGCCGTCACCAGGCTGTAGTCGCGGGAGTCCGTCTGCGACAGGCCGCCCAGGACCGCCCGCGCCACCAGCCTGCCGTAGGAGAGCACCGAGAACATGGCGTGGGGCGCCCAGCAGCCGAGCGCCAGGAACGCGGGGAGCCACCGGCGCAGCCGCCTCCTGCCCGCCGAGCGCCAGCCGCAGGGCGCCAGCCTTCCTTCCCCTGCCCGCCGGCCCGCGCCGCCGCCGCTCCGAGCGCCGCGGAGCCTCGTCCCTCCGGCTGCGCTTCACCCGCCCCTCACGCTGCCCCGCGCGCTGCCCCTCACGGCCGGGCTCGCCGGCAGCGCCCCCGCCTTCCGCGCCACCCTCCTCCCGGCGCGCGTGCGCGGCAGGCGGAGCGCGGCCGCCCCCCATTGGCTCCCCGCCGCGCCTCATTTGCATGTTGCGGGACAATAACAGCGGGCGGCTCCCGGCAGCCCCCGCGGCGCCGGGCCGCGGTTCCCGCGATTCCCGCAATTAACGCAATTACCGCAATTAACGCTCTGGCAGCGGGCACGGCCGGCCGCGCCTCGCCCTCATTGTTCTCTCCACGCCCCGCGTGCTCCGAATGACTCCGGGCCGGCGGTGCCCGTGCCTGCCGAGGGCGGCTGTGTGAGTCACGGCGCGCACAAACGCCCTGGCTTTGGGTTTGGGTTTGTTTTGGGTTTTTCCGAGCGGGACTCGCCCTGTTCTCCCCGGAGCCCTGGCGGTTCATCCGTTTTGGTTAAAGAACAAATGCCGAGCAAGAGCCTCGCGAGAAGGGTGTGTTGTGCCGGCATCGCTCAAACCCCATAAAACCATTTAAATTTAGTTGAGAGTGACACGAAGCTCTCAGCTGGAGAATTTCAACTGCAGCGACTCGAAGGCATCGGTGCTGAGAGACCCACGATGCTCAGAAAGACCCAATTCCTCGTTTTCTGCAGCTCGGTTTTCCGTGCTGCTCGTGGCTGTGCAAACAATGGGTTTGTCCCCTTGGAGGCTCCCAGCAGGTTGCTCTGCAAATTCGTTTAATTCCTCCGGGTAGAGGCACAAGAGGCTGCTCACTTGTATAACCCGAGACCACAAACAATAGAGGTGGAATACAGCAGAGGAAGTGTGAAACCTGCCCCGCAGTGAAAGGAAGAGCTCTGTGCCACAAGGCTGCTGGAGCACCCTCATTATCACACGGGATATATTTTGCTCCCTGTGCACCTTGACAGAGAGGATATTGCCCCTCTTACACTGCTAAAGGCTTTAAGCAGTGTGTGAGAATTATCCAGCTGAAGCTGAAATTGTATCTAAACTTATTAAAAAAAAATTTAATCCTCCTGTTAGAAGAGGGAGGAAGGGAATGAACACGAGGAGCAGCCCGGAGTGGTGGGTTAGGGAATGGCTGGACGTGCCCGTGTGCTGGAGATAAGGGAGTGCTGCTGCCAGGGTGTGAGAGCAGACAAACAAGGTGGCTCCTCTCAGAGCCTCACACCCTCCTTTATCAGCAAAGGGAAGCACATATTTGCAGCGCTTCCCCCACAGAATCATTCTTTCCCTTCCTCTTCCTTGTCCAGCTCCTGTCTAGCTCCAGTCCAGCCCTGAGGCAGCTCAGGATGGTGCAAGGTGACCTGTCCTGCATGACCTGGCTGTGTGCTCAGCCTGTGACCCCCCTGAAGCTGAGTTTTCCAGGGCTGGAAGGGTTCTCTCTGTGCCTCTTTGCCCAGCAGGCAGGGCTCAAACGCTGAGGAACATCCCGAGCTCAGGGCTGACAAACTCATTTGGCAGAGCACGACTCTGTGCTTCCCTAATGCTCCCATCCAGGAGCTCTTCACACTCCTCCATCCTTGAGACTCTTTGAAACAGCCTCCCTGGGGAAGTGGTGGAGTCACAGCCCCTCGAAGAGTTCAAACAATGAGTAGGTCACTCATCACTTGTGACACAGTTTAGTGGGCATGGGGGTATTGGGTGGAAGGTTGGCCTTGATCTTGGAAGTCTTTTCCAATCTTACTGATCCCATGATTCCACCCACCCAAGTCTGCCCAGACAGCCAGATGACCTCAAAATGTACATGGTAATTAGTAACCTTTGATGAACTCTGTCACTCCTGCACAGTTGTGCCCAGATGAAAACCTGCTCCTGGTTTTCGTTCAGAGGATCTCCGAGCTCCTGTGAGACAAAACCCCAACTATTTTTAATAAAATACTTCAGAACTGGTTTTCTCCACTGCTCAGTGTCAGCCTGGATAGTTCTCCTGTAAGTCCCTCCCAGCCCATGCCCTGCTGCCTTACTCAGTGTTATTCTTGTACCCTGAGAGTCGATATCCTGCCAAGTGATATTTGTTTAAAATTCCCCAATGCACAAATTTGGCACAAAAACTGGACCAAAGGGCATCCCCCTGGTTACTGCAGCTGGGTGGAATCTTCCCACCTCAAAGTCCAAGATCTATTTACATCAGCTCACTTTAGCTGCAAAAACAGAATGAACTCTTCCTGCTAGGCTTGTCCAGACCAATAAATGCACTGGGGAGTGCAAAGCAGAAGTGCTGCACAAAGTAATCAGCTGCTGAAGGCACAAGCAGCTTTCCAGCTTGTTTTAAAACTGATTCAGTGGTAGCTGATGTCAGTCCTCCCTCCCAAGTATCTGAGCCCTGAGACTGGAGTGTGATAAATGTTACCTGTAATGCCATCTGCTGTACAGACTGCCCCAGCTCCTCACTGTTTATTTAAGGGCTAATCTTGTGCTAGACCAAAATGCAGTTTATTTCAGCCTGCTTTGACTTTGTTTGGACTCTAATTCTAAATGCCTGTCCACTTGGTCTTGTAAAGTGATCTGTCATAGGGCAAACCTCATGTTAGCCCTGAAAAGATGAAGCTCAAGACAGCACAGTTGGATTAAAAAGAAAACTAACGTGAGAAGGAGCCCATGAGGCTTCCACGTGAGGAGTCAAGAGAAGATGCAGAGGCAGAAGATCACCAGCAGGAATCACAGAATGGTTTGGAGGGCATCTCAAAGATCTCATTCCACCCCTTGCCATGGCAGGGACACCTTCCACTGTCCCATCTTGCTCCAGCCTGGCCTTGGACACTTCCAGGCATGGGGCAGCTTCTCTAATGCTCAAATGCACATCAGATCTTGCTGCTGAAACTGTAATAGAGTAAATCCCTGAACGTGTTTTTTAATAAAAAGGAATCTACTGCCTCTCAAATTGCTTGAATTTTCATTTTTATAGGACCTCCCACATCAGGATCACAGTGCCCTTTTTAATTATTAATTAGCTCATGTTGACAGGACAAATGAAGTCTGTCTGCTGGAGAACAAGCATTATGTATTGATGTCCTGATCTTATCCCACACACTTGCAGCTGCTCTTTGGAACCTGTTTCAGAAGTCCAGTGCCAGGGTGAGTTTTGTGGTGGGGGGTTTTTCAAATGGTTTTTCTTAGATGTCTTGCCTTTCTCTGCATGACAAAGGTGGTTTTTTTTTCCTATTACAGCAAGTATTTTAAGTGGATTTAGAACTGTTGCTGTGAGTGAAGCCCTAAAAAAAAAAAAAAAGGTCACGAGAAAACCAGATTAATTCCATCCTACTTTGCTTTTGAACAGTTGCCCACTTCTATTCCATTTCAATGGTAGATGCAGTAAGAATTAATACCTCTTTATTCATCCAGCTCCTGCCCACATTCATCCAGGGTGCAATCTGTGCTTTCAGATTTCAGCAAGGCTTGGTTTTCATCTTGGAGTCTGGTCCCCTGTGCACCACCAGCTTTGCCAAGTAATTCCCGATGCAAGGAGAATGTATTAAATTCTGTTTTCCCCTGTGCAATGTCATCAGCCCTTTTTTACTGATTTTAAAGGCATCAGAAGCATGCAAACCAACAAGCAGGGGTGCTTTAGTATCAATTATCTCATGACACTGCAGTGGAACAAGGACACGGATCACAAGCAGCGATGATAAAACAAACCAAGCACCACTTTCCCTCCAAGCCTGCAAAACAAATTCCAAGTTTCCAACTCTGCAGGACTTGTAGGGAGGAGAAACATCTCCATCCCTGTTAACTGACCACGTGGGAGCTTACTCAGGGGAGCTGAAGGGGCTGCGAGGCCCCAAACCAGCTCCATCCAGAGGGAGGCTGTGTCTCAGCCAGGAGCTGTCCTTCCTGCAGGGCTGCCTCTGTTTTTGTCCCTTTGCTGTGGGACAGTGAAGGAGATGGAGCTGTGAAGGCTCCCAGTGTGAAAAATGCGTATTTTATGATTGGCTTTTCGCAAGTATTAAAGTGAATATTGTATGTGTGTGTTAGAAAGTGATGCTGTATTAATTTCCGTAAATACAGCTTTAGGTTATAACACAATGTTAAAATAGAAGAATGTTCGAATTTTATTATTTTAATTATATTACTATTTTTATAACCATTTCATTACTATTAAACTTTTTCAATTTCAAAAACAAGTGATTGGCGTTTTTCACACCAGGATTTCCTCCAGGCACAGGCATTTTTTCAATTTCAAAAACAAGTGACTGGCGTTTTTCACACCAGGATTTCCTCCAGGCACAGGCACACGTTCTCTTCAGAGAACACCAGAACACTGCAGCCAGTCCTGGCGCGGTGAGAAGCAAGAAAATAAAGCTTGGTGCCATTTTTACAGGTCCTTTTCAAAATGGAACTGTGTGATGTCACTCTGAGCTTGAAAAAAACAACAACCCCAACAGCAGCAGCAGCATTTTGGCCACCCCAGGAGCAGCAGACTGAAAACAGCAGCCCTTCATGCCCATGGAAGAAGGCACACACACAGATTTTGGGTTCCACCTCACCAGGAGGTTGTTTTTGGTGAGGTTATTTTGGGGTGTAATTTCTGAGGCAGAGGGGAGCAGGGGGTTCTCACCTTTGGGTCACCCTGTCCTGGGAGGAACGAGGCCTTGCCACGGGCAAGGATGGCTCCAGATTTTGCTCCACACGACCGGAGCTGTTTGAATCCCAAATCTGAGAACATCAAAGGGCTTCGTGTGACTCCTCCCTCACTCCCGGGACGTGGCCACGGCAGAGGAGGGGCACTCTGCAGTTATTTCCATTCTCAGTGGGTGCAGCTGGAGTTTTAGGGCTTTTGAGAGCTTTTGGTGCCTTCCCCTCGAGGGGACAGTAATGAACCTGGTCAGGGAAATAGAAACAGATCAAAGAATTTTTAAAGGCTGGAAAAGATTTAAGAAACAATGATTTAGTCACTCTCTAGCCCAGTTTTTTCCCAAATTAGTAAAAAAATAGAATAATTTAGGTTGAAAAATACCCCAAAGATAACTGTGCACATGAAAAATTACTGATGATTACTGAATATGCTCACTGAGCACTGAGGACCTACAGCACCTTCAAAAGGAGAAACTAACACTTTAAAAATTACTTTGAGGAAAGATTACTAAAAAAAGTTGCAAAAGTACGAGAAATACAGTTATATATATATATTATAAATATATATGATATATATAATATATAAAAATATATATATTTTTATATGTTGCAAGGGGCTATGCAAAAGTACGAGAAATACAGTTATATATATATATTATAAATATATATGATATATATAATATATAAAAATATATAATATATAAAATATATCATACAAAAAAATATATATTTTTATATGTTGCAAGGGGCTATTCCCATTTTTTTTTATTTTTTTTTTTTTATGCATGGCTTTCCAAGAGTTTTTCCCAAACCACCTTCGTGGACTACCCTTGGGTCACTTATTGCTCCCTTAGCAGCAGAATAAGCAGAATACTTTGACCACTACACCTGAAACCCTTCCCGTGGCTCTGAGGGGGCACCGACCCCTCACCACCGCCGGGCTCTTCCTGAGGGCGCTGGGTGCCACCACGGCGGCCATATCCAGCCAGAACCCTGCGCGTGGCCTCTCCCCGCGCTGGGAGGCGGTGAGGGAGCCCGAGGGCGGCTGAAGGAGCCGCAGAATCCCCCAGGCTCTGCTCGGCTCTGCCCTCCCCTCACCCGCCATGATCCCGGGCGCGGCCCTTCCCCTCCGCCCGCCAAGTCTCGCGAGAGCGGGACGCGCCCTTCCCGCCATGCCCCGCGCGCCCTAGCAACGCGCCGTTGCTAAGGGCGGCCGCCATGGCGGCGCCGCCGGCGCTCGGCGTGTTCTTTGTCCTCATCCTCCTCCTTCCGCCGCCGCCGCTCCGGGCGGAAGAGCCGGCCGCGGAGCCCGCAGATACTCGTGGTGCTGCACAGGCGCGGGTCCGCAGCGTGCCGGCGCCGGTCACGGACGGTGGGTGCCCTCCGGCTGAGGGGAGCCCCGCTCGCGGCCTCCCTCGAGAGCCCCGCTCGCGGCCTCCCCTTCGCGGGACTGGCGCACCCGCCCGGCTTCTCCGGGGATGTCTGGGGCTCTCTGCAGCCCTGCGAGCTCCAGCCGAGGCCGCTCGGAGCCTCCCGGGGTAGGCAGAGCCGGCGCGGCCCGCAGGTCCCGGGCGCGCTGGTGGCACGGACATGGCAGTGCCGGGCATGCCACAGCGCTGAGGGCCCTGGCAGGACATGGCAGTGCCGGGCATCCCACAGCGCTGAGGGCCCTGGCAGGACATGGCAGTGCCGGGCATCCCACAGCGCTGAGGGCCCTGGCAGGACATGGCAGTGCCGGGCATCCCACAGCGCTGAGGGCCCTGGCAGGACATGGCAGTGCCGGGCATCCCACAGCGCTGAGGGCCCTGGGGCGGAGGGCAGGCTCTGCTGCCCGCCCTGCGCTGCCCTGGGCGGCCTTGGAGGGCTCCCCACAGCCCGGGCTGGCTGCACAATTTGCCCCGAGGTTCAGCCCCGGAGCTGGGGATACATTGTGGTAAAAGCAGAGCGACGCGGTTTGGTTACTGTGGCACTTTGCCCCGACCAAGGAGCTGGGGATACATTGTGGTAAAAGCAGAGCGATGCGGTTTGGTTACTGTGTCCTCACAAGGTGTTCCCGCTGTATCATTTGCTACACTTTTATATCGGTTTGATATAGGGTCGCGGTTTGGTTACTGTGTTCTCACAAGGTGTTCCCTGCTCTATAATTTGCTACACTTTTATATCGGTTTGATATAGGGTGGTGTTGCCCTCAGCTGAGCTTTCCGTGGGTTACTTGCCCCAGGAAAGCGCCCCCAGTGCTGCCTCCTGAGGGAAAAGGGGTTTAAATCCCTGATCTCACAGACATAACCTTGCAATCTGATCATCCGTGTTTAAACTTCTCTGTTTGCAGGGTGAGCTGAGGATCCAGGGCTAAGCTCAGCCAACAGAACAGTCAGAACTTCAGAGATTCCAGGAAATACCTGGATGCTGTTCAGGTGGTCAGAGAACATCCAGGGGGCCACAGGGAAACAGGCAGCAGCCAAAGTGAAATAAAGAAATTAGTTGTGAAAATACTCTTTGAATGTCTTTCTCCTAAAACACTGGCCTTAATTTTCCTCATTCTGTGCTATTCTTAAGTCTAAATTAATTATAGAACAGCAACTCTAAAACATTTCAGTAGAATAATATCTGTTCTTTGAATGTATAAACTTGAAGACCTTAGAGTGTTTTAAGAATTTGCCAAGTGTACTTTACTGAGCCAGTTTACAGAATTATTGGCAATTGCTCTGTCTGTGATTACAATATTTCACAGTATCTAAAAACAGAGAGAAAAAACACTTTCAAAGAAGTCAATTATGGTTGTTTTGGCACATCAGGAAAATGTATTCCTGGACCCTGAGCCATCCCCAAAACTTGTAATCATCTCTGCTCTTCCAAAATGTTTTATTTTTCTTCCCAATAAGCTGAAACAAGCAGATAAACACACCTTGTCGGTATCTCTTTTTTTTTTTTTTCCTCTGCAAGGCTGAGTAGATTTTCACACCTCCAAAATCCCTGATGGATTCTGTTTCTCAGGGAAGAGTTTTTATTATGGCTTGGTTTTATCCACACGTTCCAAATAAATTTGCTCACCAGCAGAAAAGACGGCTTTCAAAAACACCCTCAAGAAAGGCTGAATTTGGAGAAATCTTTTATCAAACCAGGGAAAGGTGCCCGGGGAGGCGCGGGGGCCGCGGTGTCCCCCCCCAGCTCTCACCCCTCTCTCTGCCGCAGTTGCCAGGCTCTGTGTCTGCGACCTGCTGGTGGCACAGTGCGACACCAACTGCTGCTGCGACCCCGACTGCAGCGCCCAGGACTTCAGCCTCTTCACCACGTGCTCGGTCCCCGTGGTCGTGTGAGTGCGAGAAACAACCTGAAGGCACAAAATCCTTCTCCTTGTGCTGCCTGTCCTCTCCTCTCCTCGGGGCAATTCCCACCGCCACCCTTCCACCAGTCCTTGCTGCACTCTGGCCCCAGCCGGGCAGAGCAGCAAATCCACCCCCACCCAGTTCTCTCCCTCTCTTTCCCTCTTTCCTCCTGTTTCCCTGTGCTCCTCCCTGTGGGTATTTAGGTGGTGCTGATTTTTGGGGGTAAGAGTGATGCATCTCTAGACTTTGGTCAATGCAGTGTCTGGCTGTTAAAAAACTGATCCCAAAGCACCAATCTGGCCACTTCTGCACATCACCAGTTTTTATCAGTACATTTCTCAGTGACCTCTTTGGTTACGTTTATGATATCAGCTACACAATCAGTTCAGAGCTTGTTGAAATAGTGTGAGCATTTTTCTGACCCTAATTTTATAAGTTACCGTCCAACCTGCTCCCCCACTGCCACTTAACAAACAATAAAATGTAACATTATACCAAAAAAGTAAAGCCAAGAGTTGTTTCTTTGCTATTTAATCTGAAAACTCCTTCACCCAACTCCATCTTCTCAAAGAGGAGTTAAGAAAGCTCACTTCAGAATCATAATGTGCAAAAAATGTCTTGGTGACTTCTCAGAACAATAAGTGCAGCTTTTCAACCCACCTTCTGTATAAATTATGCCAATCTGAGCACTGGGTTTATTCTTGGTGCTTTGGAATTTGAATTAGCAGTCATGCCAGACTGTGGTTTCTTATTGTTCTGGCACACAAAAGACTCCTGCTCCTCATTTGTGGATATTTATATAGATCAGAGAGGTCTAATCAACACCCTCCTGAGTGACACTTTAATTGCCTCAGATGACTGTGCTGCCTTTGTCAACTAGAAATGCCTCAAACGAAATTGTGTTTCTTTGCCCAAATCCTTTTGTGTGAAACGTTTATTTTGCATGAAAAGCCAGGGGATTTTCAGTGTCTGCAGGTGTTGTGGGTCTTATTTCCATCAGAGTTTATCTACATTTGCATATTTGTGTTATTTTGGCTGATCCCAAGGCAGAGGCCGTGAGAGCTCTGCAACAGCAGCAGAAGGGTTGGATTTATGGTGGGATCCTGTTGGCTTGGGTTTATGGTGGGATCCTGTTGGGTTGGATTTATGGTGGGATCCTGGTGGGTTGGATTTATGGTGGGATCCTGTTGGGTTTGATTTATGGTGGGATCCTGTTGGGTTTGGTTTATGGTGGGATCCTGTTGGGTTGGATTTATGGTGGGATCCTGGTGGGTTGGATTTATGGTGGGATCCTGGTGGGTTGGATTTATGGTGGGATCCTGGTGGGTTGGATTTATGGTGGGATCCTGGTGGGTTGGATTTATGGTGGGATCCTGGTGGGTTGGATTTCTGGTGGGATCCTGGTGGGATCCTGGTAACAAATGACTCACCTCGTGGAAGAGCTTAACTCCAGGCTTCAAAATTTCTGAAAGTCATTTCACTTCTCCAGGGCCTGTCCTCAGCTGCTCTGTGAGTGCCAGTTCCACTGGGATCACCAGCTGGTGTTTGTGGCATGTGGGACACACCAGGGCTGCCAGGCTCTGAACTGGCACATTCTCCTGCAGCTCTGGGCTCTGGATGAGCCCATGGCACAGCCTTAAATACTTCTCCAAGATGTTATGATTATTTCACCTCCTGTTCCTCACTCTGCCATTTCTTTCACATGCATCTCAAGCAGGAATTCTTCCCATTCCCTGCTCAAATTGGATATTATTCCAACATCCACAAAACTGACCTGTTTTCCTGCTCTGACAACCCACTTGGGTTGTAGAAATGAAAGTGCTGCTGAGCTGTGTGTGGCCTCTGGTGCAGCCCTGCATTTTTGGGTTCTCAACATCTGCTTCCCACCAATTTGGCATTTTCCCTCTCATATTGTCACTGGTTTTCCCTCCCTCCCTCAGTCTGTTTCTTACCTTCCTTCATGTTGCTGCTCACCTTTTCCTCTGCTAAATAAAACATGTAGGAAAATTCTCTATTATTTATATTAAGCACAGAGTATAAAACAATAGGAACCTTCTAAGGATGCACAATTGTTCTACAAATTATGTTAAATTCAGTAATTTCATGCTTTTTAATTTTTTCTGGTGCTGCCTCGGTAGATTAAAAGAGCTTTAAAATCTGGCCAGCACTAACTTGTAGTGGGTCATTCATTTCTTTTGTTTCTTTGCAGAGGTGACAGCCAGCTGTGCAGTCAGAAAGCTGCCGTGTATTCTCTTGATGTTGAAGCAAATCCACCAGAAAGGATATTTCAATTAATTGACCAAGTCAATCCCAGTATTTTCTGCATTCATGCTGCAAACTGTAAGTAGAGTTGTAGGCAATATTAAGCATTCTGATGTTATTTTTTGTAGGCTTTTTAGGTACCAGAAAAACTAAATTTAAAACTATTTTTGTTTTATTAAACCTCTCAGGAAACTGGTAATTCTGTCTGCTCACAGTCCTTATGTTGTGATCCTTTCACTTGTGAAAACATGGAATTAAACATCTGCTACTCTTGGTCTTTGTTGGAAAACACAAAATTGTTTGGGTTTTTTTAAATAAATAATTTAGCATCCTAAATGATTCATGTTTAAAGCTGTCTCATTGTTACTAAGTATTGTTGCTGTATCTTTTTTTTCCTTAAATTATCTCTTTCTTTAAATATTTTGACAGATAAACAAGCCCTGTACCTCAAATCCCCTGAAATCCCAACTGCAGAAAATTTTGATCAGTTGCTTGATAAATTTG